ACACACATCCACAAACACTTCTCTTCCCGTCGGACCATGGACGGGAGGGGTGGCACTCGGCGCACCTTCTTATCCATGATGGGTGGGGTACGCCAGCAAAGGGGTCGGCTTATGGAGGAACGATAGACGTAGGCATGCCGGCGGCACGACAGAAAACGACAGAAACGTTGAGCGCGATGGAGCGTTCTTTGGTTTCCTGGCCGGCAGTGTTCGGTTTTGAGGGCATCTGAGCGCGCCATGAAGGAGAAATCATCGCGTCACATCGCCAGAGTCCTGTTGACGATGCAGTAATACTGATTGCGTATGGATAGCCGCCATTCTCGAACATGGCGGGGACTTCTCATCTTCTTTCCCCCGTGCCGATGACCCATCTGACGTCGTCTGCTGATAGCCCATAAGGTCAGCTGGGAGGGCGCAAGGAAGCGTGTTGGATGCGGCCGCACCACCATCGCCGTGCGCCGTGTGCTGTGTGCTGTGTATGGCGTGCAGATCAGCCCAGATCGGATCACCGAGGTGAAGTCATGGACATGGAAGGGGCGGAGCTGATGGCTGGACGCCGAAAGGAGGCTGAGATGGACTGCCGCGTGACGGTGGCTCACCAGAGCGACGGGGCGTGCAGTGAGTACGCCCACATCAAAACGCTCGAGCTCAAGGGCAGGTTCCTCGTCATCAAACTATCACCTGCCGATGGACTCGGGAGTCTCCAGCTCACGGTGAGTGAGTGAGCGACGAATCACGAATCACCTGCACACACGTGGACGGGCGGATGAATCGTGTGGCGGTGACCGAAAAGTGACGCGGTGTTTGTTTTTGATATCTGATATCTGTGCGTCCGTCAGATTAACTCTCAGTCTGTCAAGGCGATCATGAACAGCAAGGGGGACGTCCAGCACATCACCTGCATCGAGACTGGCAGCAACCGCCAGGTCAACTTCTACCCCCGGCAAGACCAGCTCAGGGTCTTCTTCGCCAGGTTCCCCCAACTCAAGCCGCCCAACGTCAAAGACGGCGCCCTGTTCAGACGCAAACGAGGTTACCAACACACCAACACCCCACACCCCCCCACACCACACCACACCCCGCCACACCCCTCTCCTCTGTGTGTGTGTGTGTGTGTCCACCCATTCCATTCCATCCCTCCATCGGTCAGGTGGCGAGAACCCCAACGACGACGGCTACAAGCCCACGAACCCCCACATGATGTTTTCCATGTCGTCCAGCAGCCAGATGATGGGCCAGGGCAACTACAACTACAACTACAGCAGTAGCTACATCCCGCCTGAACGCGGGCAGCCTGACGTCAACCCCGGCCCGCCACCGCTGGGCGGCGCCATGGGCGGCGTCGGCGGCATCGGCAGAATGCAGCAGGGGCCCGTGCTGTTCAAGCCACGTGGCCGACACAAAGACCCGCGCGCAAACGCCCTGCACTCGTCAGGTAAGCTACCCTCCCCTCTCCCCATCCCTCCCCTCATCGACATCGCCCACCCGGCAAACAAACACACATGGGGCGTGTGTTGTCCACTGTCACGTCGTCAACAGGTGGGATCGGTGCTGGACGGGGTGCTGGCGGGGGAGGTGGTGGTGGTGGAGGTGGTCGCGGTGGTTACCGTGGCCAGGACGGCGGGGCGGCACCGAATCGCAGTGGGCAAGGACGGGGTGGGGCGGGGGGCGGACGGAACCGAGGTCAGTCGACCCACAGACAGAAAGAAAAGTGCTCCACACACAGAGAAATCATTCGGTTGCTTCCCTGCCGTCCGTCCATTTGTGTGTTCAGGGGGTAGAGGTAATGTTGGTGTTGCTGTTGGCGGTGGCGTTGGCGCGAATCGGCCGGCGGACCTGCGGGCCGTTCTCCATCCAGCGGCAAAGGCTCAGCCCAAAGCAGCGCACCCAAAGGCCAAACCCCACGGTCAGTCACCGCACCACATCACACCGCACCTTTGCACACGGCAACAAAACAGTCAGTTGAGGACATGTCGATGGTGTGGTGTGGTGTCTATCCTGTGGTCTCATACGCTGTCAGTCCCTCCCCCCGTCCCCAAGTGGGCGCTGGCGGCCAAGGTGAAAAGACTGCACGCACGCACTGCACCCCACACACATGGATGGGTGGCTACATATGTATCGGTCGGGCGTGTGGTGCGTCAGAATGTCGCTGCTGGCGCTGGGCGTGGAGGTGGCGGGGGCGGCAGTGGTGCTGGTGGTGCTGGTGGGGCTTGCTGTCGTCCTGGTCGAGGCCGGCCGAGCCTCGCAGTCAACCGATTGCGGGCCGGACGGGGGGCGCCCGGCGGCGCGGGGTGAGTGACCACACACACACACACACACACACGCACACACACACACAGAGAGAGAGAGAGAGAGAGAGACGGAGGGACAGGGAGGGGAAGAGGCGGACACAGCTGCACATGTGGGGCGTCCGTCACCAATGTGTTGTGTTGTGTTGTGTTGTGTTGTGTTGTTTGTCCATCAGGATGCGCAACCTCGGCAACAGCTGCTACGCCAACGCGGTGCTGCAGTCCTTCAACCAGTTCAAGCCCTTCGTCAAGGAATACCTGCAATTCCCCGCCGTATGACGCTCAACACACACACCCACACCCACACCCACACACACAGAGACAGACAGCCACACCCACCTGTTTTGTATCTGGCCGTATCTATGCCTGGATGCCTTTAGGCGTGGAGGAACCACCTCATAGGCCGCAACGTCAGGCCTGTCGACAACGACGCCACATTCGCTACTGCGCCGATCGGCTGCCTGGGCCTGTACGTCCTCAAGATCCCCTCCGACTATGAGTGCGCCTTCTACAACGAGACGGCCGGGGTGCTGCACCAGATGGGCATGGTGGAGGAGGGCTCGGAGAACGGGCCCATCATGCCAAGGTCCTTCCTGCGCGAGTTCACCACACTCGTGCCGGCATTCGAGGGCGGCGGCCAGGAGGTATTCACTGACGCACACACACACACACACAGAGAGAGAGAGAGTCATGTGTGTGTGTGTGTGTTAGGATGCTGGTGAGTTTGCGCATTTTCTGGTAGACGGCAACAAGGAGCAGATGGAGCTGTACGTGCGCGAGAGCCTGGGCATCAAGGACCCCAACGCGCCCGTCGACCCGGACGCCTTCCCGTTCCTCGCCCTGCACAAGTACTTCCGCGTCGTCCTCCGCGAGCAAGTCTGCTGCATCTCATGCGTATACACGTACGCCTCCCCCACCGCACCCCCTCCCCTCCCCACTCACACACCATCCCTCTCTCTCTCTCTCTGTGTGTGTGTGTGTGTTTGTGTGTGTCCGTCTGGTGAGTTCATTCAGTCGCTTCATGGAGGTGCCCGAGAACTTCCTCAACGTCGACCTGCCCCGCTCCCGCACTGGCGAGTACGAGATGCACGAGCCCGAGATCACCCCCTTCCCCCGACAAGACGCCAACGGCCTCTGGCCAAAGGACATCGAGGCCCTCAAGAAGCTCGAGGAGCAGGCCGCTGCTGCCGCTGCCGCCAAGGAGGAGGGCAAGGGCAAACCAGACACAGAGGAGGAGATGGACGGAGAGGGCGAGGGGGCGGCTGGGGGAGAGGGTGGGGGTGGGGTCGAGGGCCCCGAGGTCATAGAAGTAGAGGATGACGACGCCGACGAGGCCCCTGCTGCAGCAGCAGCTGGTGGCGGTGGTGGTGGCGGAGGCAGTGGTGATGGCGATGGGGCCATGCAGGACGAGGGCTACGACGAGCTTCTGCAGGGCGACGGCGGTGGGGGCGGCGGGCAGGAGGAGGACGAGCTCTTCCCCCCGACTCTCGACGCGTCCCCAGACAACGACCAAGACCAGCAGCAGCAGCAGGACAGCCGCAGCAAGAAGGAGAAGAATTACATCTTCTGCACCCCCAAGAAGCAGCCCGCCAGCCACCTCCGACACAGCGGACCCGCCGCCGACGACGATGACGACCCCATCATGAGCCCCGCGCCCCCCCTCATGCAGCCCCAATCGCCCATCAACGCAGACGAGATATCCGAGGAGGAAGACCAGACCGACCCCTGCGCGCGCAAGAGGGGCCGCAGCGAGGAGCGCACGATCCGGCCGTCCCAGGGCTGCGGGAAGCGGCTCAAGGGCGGTGGGGGCGGCAAGGGGGAGGGGGAGGGGGAGGGGACGGGTGGTGGCGACAAGGATGATGTAGAGAGCGCGCCGTCCTCGCCGGACACGAAGAAGGACAAGGGCAAAAATCGGAAGCTGCTTGGCGGGTGAGGCAGCACTGGGGGAGGGGGAGAAAGGAGAGGGGTGGATGGATGGTTGTGGGGTCTGTGTGTGTCTGTGTCTGTGGGATGGTCAGGGATAGAGACGTTGACAAGCGTGTGTCGCTGCGGTTCGTCCTGGACCAGTTCTTCCGGGTGGGTCGAGGCACATCCATCCATCCGTCCAGCTGATCATCTGCCTGGGTTGTGTGTGTGTGTGTGTGTGATACATCCACACCGACAGACGACGACAGCCGAGTTGTTGTGCGACGTGTGTGGGTACAAGTTGGTGCGCAAGAAGTACCGCATGCAGGAGGCCCCGCTCATCCTCACCTGCAACCTCAAGAGATACGAGGAGAGCGGCATCGCCGGACGGTACACACACACAGACAGGGGCACCAGACACCCCCCAATCTCAATATCTCTCTCTCTCTCTCTGTGTGTGTGTGTGTGTGTGTGTTGCTGTGCAGCTATCGCAAGTGCACCATTGCCGTCGACTGCCCATCGGGTTTCTCCATCAGTCAGTAACCCAACACACCCACACACACACGATACACCAAACCACATCTCTCTCTCTCTCTCTCTGTGTGTGTGTGGGTGTGATGTGTGTTGGTTGGTTGATGCATTCTCATTCATCAGCTGACTTCTTCGACCACGAGTACTGGGCGTCCGACGAGAACCAGGACCGACTCGACAACAACTCCTTCATACGCGAGGCCCAGCAGTGGGGCGCGGGCATCACCACCGACACCCAGCCACAGCAGCCACACCAGCCATCGTCCTCAGCGGCGGCAGCAGCTGCTGGTGCTGGTGGTGGGGGGGGGGGGGATCTGCGTCACCCAGTGCCGTGTCTGGACTACCAGCTGCTGTGTGTGGTGGCGCACCAGAGCGGATCCATGCGCTCCGGACACTATGTGTGCTATGCCCGGGTGAGCGAGGGAGGGAGGCGAGGTGGTGGTGTGTCCATGTGTTGAAAGGTCTCTGTTGTCTGTCTGTTGTGTGGTGTCGTCTTGTCAGGACGAAGAGGGCAACTGGAGGGTCTTCGACGACTCGCGCGTCTTCACCGTACACACACACCCCACACCCTTGTGCTGCTGATTGGTCCATCCCTCTCCCTCTCTCTCTCTCTGTCTGTGTGTGTGTGTGTGCGTCAGTATGAGACGGTCGACCCGGTCAAGCAGTGCGCCAAGGAGGCTGACGGCTCGGTGGATCGGCTGCTCAGGCGCATCGCCAAGGACTGCTACCTCTGCTTCTATATCCGCAAGGACGTCTTCCCCGAGTTCGTCAAGCGATACACACACCCCACACCCACACACTCGCCACAAAAGGGCAAGGGCGGCAAAGGCAAGGACTGACGGACTGACTGACTGACTGAGCGATGGAGTGACGGTAGATACCGATGAGTGACGGTAGATACCGATGGATGGACGGATGGATGAACGGATGGATGGATGGACGGATGGATGGATGAGGGGATGGGGGGACCATAGCTCTCTCTCTCTCTCTCTCTCTCTCTCAGTCTTTGCGTGTGTAGGTAGCTGGGGGGCGGGGAGGGGAGGGGGCAGGGGGGCTGGACAGGCCACTGCTGTGATGCGTGTGCATGTGTGTGCGACGTGTTTTCATACAGACGTTTTGATGGTCGTGCATGTTGGTGTGGATGGATGGATGGTCAATGGCCGTAGACGGTTGAAGCAATCCGTTGAGGTGAAAGTAAGTGGGCCATTTCCCCTGTAGACAGACACAGAGGATAGAATGATATCGACAGACATCTTGGACGGATGTAAATCCAATGTAAATCCGCAGGACCCCTTGGGGACATGGAGATGAGGAGGAAGGCGAAGTGATGGAGAAAACCGCAGATTCGTCCATCGATCGTCCAGATCGCGGCCGCAAGCGCAAAGGGAACCGAAATCCCAAGTCGCGGCAGCAGAGGAGAAAGGAAAAAAGGCTGCGGCTGAAGAAAGAGCAGACTGAGGAGAGCACGAAAGACGAGAAGGCGGCTCCCGTAGCTGAGTCAGTACATATGGCATTAATTGCAAGTGAAGAACCACCCCACATGGAATCTTGAAGATTCCCATGGTCTGTCTGTCCATAGGTCGGTTTCTGAGGGCGTGGACAATCGTCCTGATCTCATCGGACGAAGTAGCAGCCGCAATAGCATGTAAGCAGGTCAACCACACGTCCCCGTGACTGTCGAAGGCATCCGATCCACAGATGCGTTCATGTCGGTGCGCATTCATCAGGTTTGTTGCGGATGGATACAAGTCGCATGACAAGGAACAGCCTGCCATCGCGGGGCTGAATCAGATCAGCAATGATAGCAGCAAGTACGCCCACCAACCATACGTCCTTTCTGTGTGTGTGCGCGCGTGTCTGTCCGTCCGTCCGTGTCACGCCTGTGACGCTGTGTGTGTTTGTCATATGACCGTGTGGGTCATTTGATCCATCAGATTCTTAATGCCGGACGTCGACCTCATTGCACGAGACAGCAGCAATAGCAACATGTGATCACACGCCTTCGTGACCGTCGAGGGCATCCACAGATGCGTGCGTGTGTGCTTCTTGTGTGTCCTCTTCGTGCGCATTCATCAGGTTTGTTTCGGATGGGTACAAGTCGCATCATGACAAGGCAATGCAGGAACAGACGGCCATCGCTGTGCCGAGCAGCAGTAGTAGCAGCAAGTAAGCCACATCTCAGTGCAGACCACTTATATTTCTCTCTCTCTCTCTCACTCTCTCTCTCACACTCTCTCTCTCTCTCTGTGTGTGTGTGTGTGTGTGCGTCTGTATGTGTGTGGCCAGGTGGGAGGGGAAGCATGAAGAGCCCTACTCGGACGCAGCCCGCAGTGGTGTTGGTGTGCAAGGGAGATGATCGATGCGCTGTGAGTCAACGAATCAATCACCACCACACGCGTGTTGATATACATAGTCATGCAGAGGTCCAACAGAGAGTCAACAAACACACAACAACACTGCAACTAGCTTAGCCGCGTGGGTGGGTTTAGGCTGACTGGTGCATATGGGAAGAACAATTGAGATAGCGGTGATCGATCATGATGGATGTTGGCGATGCGATTGATGGATGGCCAGACGGATCTGAGTCGCCACAAACGCTTCACCTCGTGCACCTCGCGTCAATCCATGCGTCAATCCATCCATCCATCAGTCAGTCAACACGGTGCAAGCAAGTCTGTCTGTCTGTCAGGCTGTACACACACACACACAGACACACAGACACACACGGATCGATGCTATATAGCATATTCTCTCGCCCACACCCCTCCCCCACCCATGAATGCATCTCTTTCTCACTCACTCGCTCCCACCCCTCCTCTCCACCACCTCCTCTGGCAAATTGTCCCTCGCAAACACAGATGTCTCTTGGAGCCGGCTCAGGCCCGCGTCCCCGTGCACGGCAAACTGCAGCCGGGCAGACAGGCTGGTCGACGCCAGCACCAGCTCGCTGCTCTCGTCCCTGGCAGAGAAGGAGTACTCGGCCAGCGAGATGCCCCTGGCCCTTATGGACGGCATGATGTCCCGCCTGACCCACTCCTGCTCCTCCAGCTGCCGCTTCTCGACCTCGCTGTGGGTGTCATCGTACACCCAGACGTCGTGGAAGCAGAGGCCGAAGCTCTCGGGGGCGTCGGAGAGGGCGGGCTGTCGGCGGCCGAGAAGGAAGCGGTGTGTGGCTGTGCCCTTGAGCATGACCTGGTAGTCTGACGTTGTGAAGGCCCATCCCTCTATGGCCACCAGACAGCCGATCGAGAAGCCCTCTCGGATGAAGCCAAAGAGCCCCCCGCAGCGGTCGATGGCGTGCTTGAACATCACCCGATAGCTGCACATGACAACCACCCACCCATCCCCACAGTGTGCGATGCAGAAGACACAAAAGCGAGACTCAGTATTGGTCTCACTCACTCACCGTGGCTCAAACAGGGTCAGATAAATCTCCTTCTGTGGCCATGACGGCGCATTGTACGTCATAACGGGCACCCCCTCAAGCCGCTTAAACTGGCCGTCAGCCACAGTCGGGGGCTCCGGCTTGAACGCATTCAGCCGCACCGCAGAGGTCACCGCCGCCCGGCCCTTCTCCTCCTCGTCCACAGACACAATCCTCGTCGCGCGCTTCTCCGCAAACTCAGCCAGCCTCTCGGGCAAGAAGAAGCGCCGCGCAAATGACGAGTGGATCTGGATCGGGTCAAAGCGATTGCGGTATGCCAGCACCGGGAAGGCGTCGGCGTGGTGGTCGTCGGGCCGGTCGATGGCGAAGATGAAGAGCCCCGCCGCACCGTTGGAGGCGTCTTTCGTGTCGGTGTGGGTGTGCTGGGGGAGGGAGAGGGCGTATGTGGGGGAGGAGGTGTGCAGCAGGATGCCCGCGGTGCGGTGGAATAGCCCCGAGAAGCGCCGGTAGAGGGCGTAGGCGTTGGAGGTCCTTGAGCCCAGACACAGGAATATCCCCCCCGACTCGCTCATCCATGTGGGCTGCACCTCTGATGGGAAGGACTCGTCAGGAGTGCTGAAAAACTGTCCACACACAGCACACACAGCACACACAACACACAACACATGCACCTTTGTGTGTCTTTCCCACGGGCCTCGCTCACGCACCCTGATGGACGGCGCAATGATGAGCGAGCAGCTTGTGTAGGGCGTCTCGTCAAGGCATGGCGTCTGGAAAGCCAGACTCAGGTCGTCCCTGCGGGCAGCCGTGTGCTCAACCAGGTGTGTGGCCGAGCTGCTGCTGTTGCTGTTGCTGTTGTTGTTGTGGGCCGGCCTGTCATCGTAGAACCACAGCCAGCAGATCTGCGAATCGGCATCACGCTGCCTCTGCCGCTGCTCGATGGCCGACAGATGCCTGCGGGCGATCTCCGCCACTGAACACACCATCCATCCATCCATCCATCCACAATGCGAGATGACGTTGTAGGGTACCTGCTCTGTGCCTGTCTGTGTCGTTGCTCCACGCCGTCAGGACGGTCAGCTGTCCTGATGAGTACGCTGCTGATGAGGTCGAGAAAGAGAAGAACTGAGAAACGCCAAGCCGATGAACAAAGCGGCTCCCGCCCGAACCAAGAAGCCTATATCTCACTCGCTGCATCGCGGCAGATGAGAGATCTTTGCCAGGCACAAGCCAGGCAAGCTCGCATTCATGTGTTTTCGATGCGTTCGGGTGAGGTAAACAACCCGATAGTTATTGAATAAGCTTTTAGCTGTAGAGAGAGCTAAAAGCTCGTTCTAGCACTATCGGGTCGTCCGCCTCACCCGCACCCATCAGGCCGTCACCGATGCCGGTTTAAACAGTGTCAATCAGTCAGTTATCTGTCCCTCGTGCATGTACACACACGACATGCACTCAATTCACTCCACTCATGCAGCCAGCCACATTATATATATGGTGGTTTCCTCTCGAGACCCAGCACCTCCCCTCCCCTCTCCAGCCGTTCGTTGTCTCACATACTCACTGCCACCGTGATGGCGGCCTCCCCCAATCTCACTGCAACGGTCGGTCGGTCGATGGATCGATGACTCACTCCAGTCAGTCACATCACCCCAGCAGATCGAACTCGTCAAAATTGCTGCATATGCATACAGCAGACCGAGGTCTGTCTGTTTGCCTGCCTGCCTGAAGCGGATCTCACTCACCTCTGGTGTTTCGGTGGCTGGCTTTGCTGCGCGATTGCACCACTGGCGGCCGGCGGTGGCTGCTGCCCATACTGCTGCACCATCCCCTGCATCCCACCCATGGGCGGCCCCTGCTGCTGCTGCTGGTAGTTGCCTTGCTGCGGCTGACTCATGGGAGGAGGAGGAGGCATCACATTGCCCGCCATCTGTCCATGTGCTGGTGCTGGTGCCGGTGCATGTGTGTTGTTGCCGTACTGGATTCCCTGCTGCTGAGGAACCATCGGCTGGCCACCACCACCACCATACCCACCCACAACACCAGAGCCGTACGCCGGTTGTGGCGCCACGGGAGCAGCAGCAGGCGCCTGCTGCTGCGCATAGCCGCCATATGGCTGACCTACCGCAGGGGCCGGTGGCTGTGCTTGCGCCTGTTGTGTTGGCTGTGGCTGGGCGGGAGTGGCGACCGATGCCGTCTGGAAGTCGCTGAACTCCAAATCGAGCAGATCCTGACCGGCACGCCACACAGAATCCATCCAATCCATCCATCCACCCCATCTCTCTTGGCCTCCCCGGATGCAAATTTGCTTACCACTGTGGCAGATTGTGGTGGTGGTGCTTGCTTCTGTGGTTGCTGCTGTGGTGGCGGCTGGTGGGGCTGTGGCTGTGGCTGTGGGTATGAGGGCATCCCGCCGCCCGGCACGCTCACGTTTTGCTGGTATGGCGTCTGCAGCGGGTGCTGCTTGGGCATGTGGCCCTGGTACGTCGCTGTAGGGACTGGCTGCTGCTGCTGCTGGTATTGCTGTGGCTGGAACTGCTGTTGTTGCTGATATTGCTGTTGCTGCTGCTGCTGCTGCTGTTGCTGTGGTGGTGGCTGTGGCGGGTGTTGTGCGTCGAGCTGCGGTGAGGAGGGGGAGTTGTGGCGACGAGAGCGGGTGGCCGGACCTGATGGGACGAGAAACGAAGGCAGAGTGGGGTGGGTTGGATAGGGTGTGGTGTGTTATGTGTGTGGAGGGGCACCTGTGTGTCCTGCGGGTGGCGGTGGCATGAGTGGCGCGGCGATGCCCGCGCCGCCTTGGCTGCCCTCGTGGTGGTCCTTGCGCCTTCACAGACAGACAGACAGACGTGGACGGATGGATGGATGGATAGATAGGTGGATGGATGGCTTCCTTCGTTTCCCTCCTGCTGTGGTGGTGCTTTGATGCTTACCGTGACTTGCCCCTCACCCCCTTGATCTCGACCTTGATCTTCTGACCTGCACACACACATCCATCCATCCATCCAGTCGTCTCCTCTGTCTCTCTTGCACATCTGATCTGCCTCTGTATGTCTGTGTGCGTCTGTCTAAGTATGTGTATGCCACACAGACACACAGACACACGCACCTTCCTGCAGTCTGAAGTCCCTCTGCGGCAGGTCGGCAAGGGCCGGCCGACTCGCCTCCTCTCGCTCCACCTCACGACGCCTGAACGAACACGATTAAAGCACAGCCATTGCGCGTCAGCCTCAGTCGAAGACGGAACCCACACAGACACGCACAGCACAGAATGACGGACCTTGCGAAGTCGTTGAGTGTTGCGTTGAAGTCGAAGGCGTCGTTGCGGTCCTCAAACCCCATACCGATGTAAGCGTGACGACCTGACACACACATGCTCACACACATACAGCCACGCACCATCGAGAACGGTGTGCATGTTGTGGTGTGCTCTTTCGCCTACCCTTGCCGTCATCGATCCGGAGGGCGAAGTAGCGCGAGCTGTCGACGGCTGCACCCACCCACCCACCAGAACACACACACAACCACAGCACAGCACAGCACACACCATATGATGGACGAGTGTCGTGTGGGTCGTTGGTTGATTGATTGTCATTTGATTGCTTCACTGACTTCGTTCGATGGCCTCCTCGTAGTTCTCGGGCACCGGACACATCGCAAACAGCTGACCTGTTGTTAGTGGATCAACGGACGAATGGACAAGTGGATGGATGGATGGATGGGTGGGCGGGTGTGGATGGACTCTTTCAGCCCAGGCTGCCCTCTCTGTCTGTCTGTCTGTCTGAGTGAGCGTGGCCATGCCCATCCCTCCCTCCCTCGTCACTTACCAGAGCTTCTGTCGACGAGTTTGACTGTGCATCTGTCGCCCTTGGCCACAATCTGCAGCTTCCCCTGCCATATTGGATTCTTCCAATCCTCAGCCCTGATGACATGACATACATATACACAGACAGAAAGAGGGCAGGGCACGCACACAATGACATGAACACACACACAAAGGCAAGCAGGCAGGCAGACAGGGAGGGAGGGAGGGAGGGAATGAAACCACACAGGTGTGTTTGTTGTGTTTGCTGTCCTGGCCTGGCCTGCCCCGCCCTGCCCTGCCCTCCGCTCTGTTCTGCTCTGTCCACCCCACCCCACCCCATCCCATCCCACCTGTGTCCCACAGACGGCCTGGGCGGTATTTTGTAGACGAACACCTCGCCCTTCTGCAGCAACGCATACTCCAGCTCCTCCTCGTCCATAGCTGCCTCACTTCACTTCAATTGCCTCACACGACGTGGTTTCTGCATAAGCTCGCAGTACGAGAATAATAGTCGCGTCGCAGAATAAAAGGGAATGGGAAACCAGCAGTCAGGAGAGAGAGACAACGTTAACTCAAACCAGCAGTCAGGCAAGTGGTTCTTCTTCAGAGGGCGCACTCAGCGCACTCAATTTCCGTTCTTCGTCCCCCCCGACCGCCTCGCCCGCGTTGCGTCTGGAGAAGACCTCAGGGAGGCAATTGCGACGCAGCTGGCAGACAGGTGGAGCCTCCCTTTTCCTGAGCTGATTGGCAAGACGGCCGACGACTACCATGTGAGGTGGGAGGACTACCAACAGCGCGGCAGCTACGACAACCAAATCGATGTGACTTTCGATGTGAGCTTCGCAGGTGAGTGAGTGTGCACGTAAAGGAACGACACAACGCTGTCTGTGGATGGCTGTGGCCCGGTCAGAACGTACCGGGGGTCTTGGCGTGGGTCTCGCCAGCAGTCCGGCTTCTGCGAGGGGTAGAGAAACGGCCGACCAGATTGCTGCTAGAGTCGTGTTGCAGGAGGAAGTGGGGCCCTACCAACGACGGCAGGTCTACCAACGACGGCAGGTCAAGACGGGGGCATCCTAGCTGCCATTCATTGCAGGAATCCTTTCGTCGTTTGGGATGGGCGGCAAGGACTATCGGAGGGACGTGAAGAAGGCCCAGAGGATTTTCGCAAAGGACCAGCCGGAGAAGTCCAAGACAGCCATGAAGAAAATGGCGAAAGCGGCGCCCATGAGCGCAAGGACGGAGGCCGCGCACTGCCAGCAGGGCATGTGGCGGTTTGTTTGTCATGGCTCTCTAAGCGCTGTTGCTGTGTTCAGACTACGTCGCCGCTACGGCACGTAAACAAATGGCAGACGTGTGTCAGCTGAGTCATGAGCGCACGGCTCTGCCGCTGGGTGGGTGCAGAGGTACCACTCACCTCACTGCTACTCTGAGGGAGAGGGTGTGGGTAATATGTGCGTCTGCTTTGATTGAGGTGTGGAGGGCGAGGTGGGTGGGGGTGGCCTGATGTGTATCATAGCACCGCCTCTAGCTGCCTTTCTGTCTGTCACTTGCTGTGGTTCGGGTAAATGGGAGCGGAGCTGTCTCTCCCTCCCTCCCTCCCTCTCTCTCTCTGCTGAACCCTCTCCCTCTCTGTCTGTCTGTCTGTGGTCCGCAGTGTGTGTTGCACATCGCGACTGTGATTGACGATGTATGGCGATGGCACATGGACGCCGGTCGAATTATGTGTGGCGTTGCCTCCCTCTCTGCCTGACAGGGAATGTGTCAATGTCTTGGTGACAGACCATTTCGCTTTCTCTCTCTCTCTCAATTGGTACGTTGTTCCCCACATCAGCTGTGGCTCGACCACGGCGCCACCTCGACACGTAAACAAATGACAGACACCACACCCTCGTCCACACGCTCACACACATCAGCACCGGCCACATTAATCAATCAGTCAGTCAGGGGTGCTGCCGAGTCTGGATACTGTCGACGGTCGGGGTGTCTCGCGGGTCCCGGTGCACGTGGGTGAAGCCATACTTCTTGCCGACCTCCCCCACGACGTGGCCCCTCCCATACAGCCTGACACACACACACACACACACACACACAGAGGAGAGCAGGCGTCTTTGTCTGTCTGTTCGTTGGGTGCTAGGGCAGATCAGTGCCCCACCCACCTGTATTTGTGTATGACGAGCCCTTCGAGGCCCACTGGTCCGCGGGAGTGGATGCGGTTGGTCGATATGCCGACCTCAGCGCCGAAGCCATACCTGCATCGATCGCATCAAGACGGGCAAACCGCACAAAGGTCAGACACACAGACAGAAGAACACACAAATGGGCACACACACTCACACCCACACCCACACACACGCACCTGAATCCGTCAGCGAAGCGAGTGGAGGCATTGTGATAGACACCTGCACCGCACCGCACCGTGCCCGCCCACACCATCTGTGTGTATGTGGGTATGTGTGTGTGTGTGTGTGTGTCCAGGTGCTCATGTGTCAGTCATACCGGCCGAGTCGACGAACTGCAGGAAGGTCTCTGCTGTCTGTGAGTTGCTGGTGACTATGCAGTCCGTGTGGTGCGACCCGTGCGCATTAATGTGCCCTATCGCCTCCTACCATCACACCACACACACAAACACAACATCTCCCGCCCACCCTCCCTCCCTCGCTTACCTGTGCACTGTCGACCACCTTGACGGCCATCGTCGGCTCCAGAAACTCAGTGCTTTCGACAAACAAAGACACACACACACAGGTATAGTGAGTGGGTGTCAGTTGCTTGCTTGGTGGCCGGCTCGCTCACTGGAAGTCTTCTTGTGTGGCGGGCTGCGTGCACTGCGCCGACAGGTGTGGGAGGCTGCGCGTGTCGGCCTTGTACTGCACACTGTGGGCAGCCAGGCGCTCCGACAGCAAAGGCAGAAACGAGGCAGCCACCTGCACCCACCCATCCACACACACACCGATGCCTCATCTGCTGCGGTGTCGCTCGCTGAGCGAGTGGGATGATGACTGCCCTGGCCGGCTGACTGGCTGACCTTTTGGTGCACGAGGAGGGTTTCGAGTGCGTTGCACGCGGAGCAGTAGTTCATCTTGGAGTCCTCCACTATCGACACCGCCTGAGAGAACGGACCAACCAAGGTACAGAACAAAGGATTCACAGGCCACAGGCCGCTCGCCACGCGCCAGGCGCACCTGTTGCAGGTCGCACTCCTCGTCCACATAGACGGCACAGAGGCCGTCGGCATGGCCTGGGGTGAGCGAGTGACAAAGTGGATCGATCAATAGGGATGCGGTCATTCGAGCCACCGACCTACCTAACACGGGAATCCGGGTGCTGTCCTTGATGGACCGGACCAACGCATTCGAACCTGCACACACACACACACACACACACCGACACACACCGACACACACCGACACACACCCACATCCATCCATCCATCCATCATTCATCAGACGATCGACGACCTGGCTGGCTGGCTGGCTGGCTGGCTGACCTACCTCTGGGAATAACGAGGTCGATGTCCTTGTCGCACTGCAGCAAAGATGTCACCTCCTCACGGGTGTCAACCAGCTGCACCGACGTCGCGGGAACACCTGACACACACACACAGAGGAGGGAGTCCGTCAAGGCCAGGAAGCGACACGTGGTGGTGGTGGTGGTGTCTTGCCTGGTGCTCTTTTCAGCGCGGCTGCAAGCGCGTCATAGAGCGCACGGTTCGAGCGCATGGCCTCCTGCACAACAACACCCAGAGATGATTGACAGGGTGTTGGTATGGTAATGAATGCGTCACCCCCCCCACCCACCCACCCACCCACCTTGCCGCCCTTGAGAATGAGCGCATTCCCCGACTTGAGGGCCAGGGACGATATCTGCACCTGCACAGCCATCCAGCCATCAGGCCATCTCAACACACAAACATGGCTGGTGGTGTCGTCACGGCTCCGTCTATGAGTGTGCTGTGTCGGCGCTCTGCTCACCGCTGCCTCGGGACGAGACTCGAAGATGATGGCCAGCACCCCTGCACACACACGAACATGCACACACAGAAACAGTCCACACCGCATCCAGCGCAGTCCCACTTCCACCGACCTACCGATGGGGCAGGTGACGCGATAGAGGTCCAGGCCGTCGGCCAGCTGAGTCGACAGCTCACACCGACCCACCTGCGTTGCATCCACACACCACACACACACTCATAAATACAGATGCACACACACACACACATAAACACACTTACGGGGTCTGGGAGTCCGATGATGTCGTCGATGCCCTTGAGGAGGGTCTCGAACTTGGCCCCGCTGCAGTCCAGCCGCTTCACCAGTGACGGAGCCATCGCACCCGCACTCACAGCCGCCTCGCCCTCGCGCTTGTCGGCAGCATTCGCCGCCTGTATCAGCCCCTGCACACACACCCGCACATCCATCCATCTGAGTAGATGTGTTGTGTTGTGTCCTGTGACTCACCCTCTGCTTGACGAGCTCCTCCTTGAACAGGCGCAGCGCGTCGTTCTTGGCTTCAGTCGAGAGGCCCGCCAGCTGCTGGGCGGCGGCACGAGCCTGGCGGGCTATGTCGGGGATGCCCGAGCCACACCCCTCCGTCCCATTCATCGCCGATGACTGACAACGCACAGATCTGGCCAGATCTACAACTTGTCGGTTGAGTGCCGCCCGGGGAAACGATTACCGCGCCAAGGACCACGAAAGGCTTTCGAGCTGTTCGTGAAACTGCTCGCGCTTCGAGCCGTTCCTCTTCAGCCTGCATGTGTTCAAGGGCCTGAGAGGAACGGCTGTGATCATCCCCAACTTCCACCATCCATCCATCCATCGCTCTACGCGTGGCACCGACCCAGTAAGCGAAGTAAGGCCCACCAGAGGACAGAGAGATCCATGGAGGCAGGAACGGCGACCACACACGCGACCACACAAGTCTGTGGGACCACACCCACCCACCGTCGGATGAATTCCATGGATGAATCTGGCTCTGTCGGTGTGGGGTCAACTTGGTTGATGCTGTGATGTGTGCGGTGCGCAGGGTCGTGTGGCGACGGGCGGGTGGTGGATTCGCCGCGCTGCGCGGAAGCTGATTGATTGATGCGTGTGATGCCTTGATGCCCGGTCATCTCCTCGGCTGAAAGGCGTGTCTGCGGCCCATCTTGCGGCCCATCCGTCCGTCCGTCCATCTGTTTCTCATCTTCTTTATCTGCCCATCTTCTATGGTGCTGTTCCACGGCGGCCACCCGGTGTCCAGCTACATGCAGCTTGGCGCCAACACGCTCGTCACTATCGCCGAGGAGTGTGTGATCATGCTCCTCCTGGCACTCGCCTTCTTCCTCATCCCCAACGTCCTCACGGGCTGCCGCCGCAGACGGGGGCGGCAGATGGGTTGGCGAAACACAAACACTGTGGCCAACAAGACCAACAGCAAGACAAACAACAATACACGGCCATCCCGTCAGCTGCCCAACGCCACTACCAGCACCAGCACCATCAACACCAACACCAGCATCACACCGCCACAGCAGCAGGAGAGCCACCCCCCTCCCCCTCCCCCTCCCCCTCCCCATCCCCAACCCCATCCGTCCACCTGCCGGCTGCTGCTGCAGCTCGTCGAGCCCGGTCACACCGACGCCGAGGTGTGCGAAATGTGGCAGCACATCTACCCCGCGGCCGTGGCGGCCGCCACACACGGCAAGGACGCCCCGTACTCGCCATGCCCGTCGGGCATCGGTCTGTGCGACGGCGTTGTCGACCCCCCTGCCCTCAAGGCCGTCCCCCTGGCACGCATAGCCCTCACACTCGCGCGCCACTACAACGACGCCACGCGCGTTGCCGACGAGATGGCCTCATTCCTCAACTTCGCCACCAACACGGCCACGAGCACGAGCACGGGGACGGGCACACACACATACGTCCCGCCGACCGCGGCGGGCACGACGGCGGTGCGTCAGTGGTGCCGCGCGGTGCTGCGTTACCTGCTGCTGGATCTGTCCAAAAGCGGCGAGATCGCCCTCACCGTCTCCTTCTCCCAACACCCATTCACCCAGAACTTCTGCTCAAGGCCATTCCGCGAAGACTGCCTGCTGCGCGCTGTCATGACGGCGACGAGCGAGGCCATCACGACCACCGGCACCACCGAGAGGATCATCAGCACGCCCCCGGCTTGTCTCAACACGCCCCTGCTGACGGTGCTGTATCGGCTGGCCATCCAATCGGACCAGCTCGAGACCGCCCTCACCCTTCTGGCCTGGACCGTCTCCCGACACCATGGCAACGACACGCAGACGGAGGGGGACGATCACGGTGGCATGACAATGAGCACTGCCGATGGCAAGACGGTGGTGTTGGGTGCGGACGTGGGGGAGCTGTGCCATGCGGCGTGTCGGGCCAGCCGGCTGGACATTGCCGTCAAGGCACTGGAACTGATGCACTGGCCACTCAAGGTACAGAGATAAGACAGAGAGGAGGGACGGAGGGAGGGAGGGAGGGAGGGGGAGGGGAAGGTCAGAAAGTGTGTGTTTGGAGTGCATGTGCAGTTGCCTGTTGACGGGCTCGACGTGGTTCTTCGCCACCTGGTGACCTTCCCGCAGCACCTGCACACGACGCAGCCCTTCTCCCTCTCCCCTTCACCAAAGGCCTCACCATCGCCCATCCCCACACCGCCCACATCGACCCCACCCACAACCGCCGCACCCACACCACCCGCACCCAACAACAGCCTCTCACCCACCCCGAACACAGGCAGCAGGCCCATGACCCCGACGACCGGTGATGGCCACTACCAGCACCAGCACCAGCACCAGCACCACCAGCAGCAGCACGATCGCGCCGATGGCGATACCAGCAACAACAATGCCACCATTATGCCACACCCTCATCACCCCCACACACGGCCGGTGCCCTTGCTGACCAAGATCGAGGCCTTCGCGGCCCGTCTGGTGCACGAACGGCCGCAGGACCTCCGGCCACAGCTGTTCATGGTGCTCAGCCGCGTGTTAGGTGACGGCCCCGCCGCCATGCGCAAGGTCTGGGAGTATCTGGCCAGGACCATCGACAGCCGCCATCGCCATCACCACCACCAACAGCAGCACCAGGAGGGTCGCTTGCTGACGGAGCAGCTAGTGAATCGGCTGCTGGCGGGGTGCGAGGGGGCCTCAGACGTGGGCTGGGCGACCGAGGTACTGGACAGGTATCGCAGGGAGACACACATAGAGAGGGTGGGGTGGGGGGGGCTGCAGCCGCAGCAGCAGATGCCACAAGCGGTGCGCGAGGCCCTCTCCAGGGCGTATGGGACCATTGCCAAGGTGAGAAACAACAAGACCCAAGATGAAAGACCCATCGACCCATCCAGATAGATTGCCTTATGTGGGTGTGGTGTGTTGTAGATGATGGTAGGCGGCGGCATGTGGTCGTCCTTAGAGGGTCTGCTGCACCAGATGCGGACCGACGGCCTGACGCTGCCGCAGCTGTACCTCCGCCCCGTCTTCGACGCAGCCATTCGCGCACACCAAGTCGACATCGCAGCCAACATACTAAACGGGTTAGTGCGTCCATCCATCCAATGGCAGACACGCACACCCATTATCTCTCTCTCCCTCTCTCCCTGTGTGTGTATGGTATGCCTGTGTGTGGGTCCTGCTCGTCAGGTGTGGCGAGGACGAGGGCAACGTCCACGTGACGCTGCACCTCACCCTCATCAGAGCCTATGGGGCGGCCGGCAAGCTCCCCCGCGCAATGGAGGTGTTCCGGCGGCTGGTGGAGTGCCCTCATGTGGTGCCGAACGCGCTCATGTACAACGTTGCTCTCAACACCTGCGTCGACAGCGGAGACTTCAACCAGTGAGCGAACCGTTCGCCGGGCAAAGTCAGTCCCGTCTGTATGTGTGTGTGTGTGTGTGTGTCTTGTGTGTGTCATATAGGGTGGTGTCTTTGGTAGGCGAGATGTTGGACCGCCGATTCTTGGACGTGGCCTCGTTCAACACCATTGTCAAGGTTGGTTGGTCACCAAACCCACCTCACCCCGCGCCACCCCACCCACACCCACACACACGTCTGCAGGGATGGTTTCTCTCTCTCTCTCTCTCTCTCTGTGTGTGTGTGTGTGTGTAGGGTTTTGTTAGCAGCGGCATGTGTGTGGAGGCGCGTGAAGTGGTCAAACTGATGCGCAACTACGACGTGCGGCCCAACCGCGTCACGTACAACACACTCCTGGGCGCCGCCACCCACAAAAACACACCCAACATAGAGTGAGACAGACAGACAGACAAACAGGGACGGAGGGAGGGAGGGAGGGATGTGTCGACGCATCCGACCACAAAGCGATCGATGGATGGATGGATGGATGTGCAGCGAGTGGGTAGACGAGGCGCTGTCCATGATGGCGGAGGACCAGGTGGCCCCCAACGCGCACACGTGCTGCGCCCTGCTCGACTCCCTCTTGCCTGACACACACCCCGATGTGCGTAACGAGCCAACGAACGAACAACACACCAGCAGACCCCCTGTACACCCCACCAATGTGCCATGCCCCTTGTGTGTGTGTGTGTGTGCAGGTCGTGAAGCGTCGTCTCGACGTTGTGCGCCACCTCCCTGACACAGAAATGGACGAGGCAAGTCCACTTGTAGAGAGGACGTTGTGTGTGTGTGTGTGTGTGAGCGCTGGATGCGTTTCGTTGCTTGTCAGGTGCTGCTCACGTCGATGGTCGACACTTGCATCCGCATGAGCCTCACAGACCTTCTGCCAAACATGGTGTGTGTATGTATGTGTCTCACTCACCCACACCGACATACCTGCCTCTCTCTCTCTGCACATCTCAGCTGCCGGTGTGCGAGCGTCAGCTGCGCCGCAAGTCCGTCCAGGACACAGGCGACCAAGCCACCACCAGCCATGACGGCATCCTGGCGGGGTCGGGCGGCTTATCGCCCTCCATCTATGGGGCGCTCATCCGGGGTTACGGGCGGCTGGGGGCCATGGGCAGGGTGTGGGAGCTGTGGCGCGAGCTCAAGGCGCTCAACGTGCCCGTTGACAAAGCGACTACGGGGTGCTTCGTAGAGGCGCTTGTTGCGAATAAGGTACGATGCACTAGGATAGGCAGACAAGGAGATGGATGGATGGATGTGTGTGTGTGTGGGGGGGGGGGATGTCAGGATGTGGACACGGCTTTCCAGGTGCTGGAGGAGCTCGAGGCCGCCACCACGCCCACGCCCACGGCCAGGGACTTGCACAAGCAGCAGCAGCAGCAGCACCATCAGCAGCAGCCTGCACCACCCGTGTTGCCCCCCCACACCGACACGTCCCCTACATCCGTCTCCACGGCCACATCCACCACGCTCGACAGCTACGCCTTCTCGCCCCCCACCCACCATCCCACCATCATCCACACAAAAGGCCTGGCGGGCGGCATGCGGATGGGCGTGAGTGGCATTAGCGGCCCATCATCCTACGGCCAGGAGAACGTCAGCGGCAACCCGCTGCTGTACTGCACCGTCCTCAAGGGCCTGGCGCAGGCACACAAAATCGACGACGCCCTGCAGTTATACAAGGTGGGGTGGGTGGGCTCATCGGGCGGGGCGGTCGGCGGGAGAATTGATGGACTCACACTCGTGTGCTCCGGCGTTGGGCGTTGGGATGTTGTGCGTTCAGACGATGGAAGAGCGTGGTGTGGCGATGGACGCGGCGGTGTACAGCGAGCTGCTGGAGGCCTGCGCCAAGTGCAAGAGGGCCGACCATGTCGAGTACCTGCTCTCGGTGTGTCTGTCACTCAGTCTCACACTCACACCCACACCCACACACACATGGATCACGTCGATCCTTCCATATGCTATCACGTGTCGATGGGTGCAGGGGATGCGTCAGCGAGGTATGTGCCCGGATGCCTCAGCGCAGCTGACGGCCCTCAAGGCCTACTGCAGCAGCGGCGACACCGACTCGGCCCTCAGGTACTACACCCACCTCAAGACGCAGGGCACCGGCGCCATGTTCGACGAACACACCTACAACGCCGTCATCGAATGTCAACACAAACTCACACACACACACACATACACACACACAACAAACAGCACAGCACCGCACTCTGGGAGATAAGTGTGTGTGTGCGTGTGATGGTGACCAGGTTGTGGGAGCCCTCCTGCGGGCGGCAAGGACGTGTGGTGTGAGAACAATGGTGGTGTCGGCGGGGGTCCTCACCGTCGTGGCGCGTCGCAGCCCACTACCCGGCTCGCCGACCAGGCGCTGGCCGTGCTCGAAGACATGAAACGGGCTAACGTGCCGCCCACTAATCGCACACTCACGGTGAGGACTACACAAACAGGCAGACAGACAGACAGGTGGGTGGATGGAGGTGGGCATCTGGTTTATGTGGTGTGTCTGCAGGGGCTGGTGAAGGTGTTGGGCCGCGCACGTCAGGTCAAGAAGGCCTTCCAGCTGCTCGAACAAGTCACCACACAATACAGTGAGTGAGCTGAGCCTATCTATCCC